TGTGATGGGAGAGGGGCAGAATTTGATGGGAGAGGGGCAGGATGTGATGGGAGAGGGGCAGGAGGGATGCAGGGACAGGGGGGGCTCACCCAGTGCCCGCAGCACCCCGCTGATCACGGCGGGCCCCCCGTGCACGTGCAGCTCAGCACAGTCCTCCCCGGTGAAGCTCCGGGGTCCTGCGGGGACACACGGCCTGGGTGGGCACCGGCCGAGCCCCCCGGAGCCGGTACATCCCTCCCGAGGGAACACGCACATTTCCACCCCATAGGAGCTCTGGGGGGCTCAGGAGAGACCCCCCAGCAGCAGCTCTATGGGATCGGTGCAGAGGGGCCAGCGGTGACCCAGGACCACCCCCGAGGGGTCTCCTCAGGCGAGGGGGCTGTGGCAGGCACCGAGACCCCCACCGGGCACCGAGACCCCCCTCAACCAACCCCCAAAGACCCCTCCCGAGCCCCAGCCCACCCACCCCACCTGGGAACCAGACGACGAGCCCGCGGTCGAGGGTCTCGGCGGTGTCGGGGTCGCGGATGCGCCGCAGGGCCAGGACGCGGGGCGGGGGCAGCTTGGGGGTCCCGGTGAGGCTCTGCAGGGCCCCCCGGCTGCCCGGGCCGCTGGCACGGATAACAGCGACCCCGCAGCGCCCGGGGGCCGAGGACAGGGCGAAGATGGTGTCCCCCCCGCCCCCCGCCGAGGAGCTCAGGCACCGCGCCCACCTGGGAGGGGAAGGGGGGTCCTTATCCACACCCCCGGGGGGGGGGCACACAGAGGGTGCAGGGGGTGCGCAGACCCCCCCAATCACCCCCAAGGACCCCTGCCCGTGCAACCCCTCCCCAGGGTCACCCCCACCTCAAGGGCATCCCTTCCCTGGATGAACCCCCTCCCCAAGGGCACCCCCTCCCCGGGTACTCCCCCTCCTCAGATGCATCCCCTCCCCAAAAGCATCCTCTCCCCTTGTACTCCCCCTCCTCGTGCACCCTCTCCCCAGGTACTCCCTCTTCCCGTGCACCCCCTCCCCAGGTCCTCCCCCTTCCCGAGCAGCCCCTCCCCGTTCACCCCCTCGCGATGCGCCCCCTCCCCAGGTACTCCCCCTTCCCCTGCACCCCCCTCCACACCAGGGCACCCCTACCCCCTTCCCGTGCGCCCTCTCCCCAAACTCCCCCCCGCAGGGGGTTCGCCCCCCTCCCCGGGACCCCCCGTTCAGCCCCGGGGTGCCCCCACCTGCCCCCCGCCGCCCTCAGCGCCCTGGGCAGCGCCATGAGCGCGGCTCACGCTGCCCTCACCCCGCGCCGGCCTCATCGCGGGCGCCTCGCCCCGCCCACCTCGCCTATTCCCATTGGTCGGCTCTCGCGAAGGGGCGGGTTTAATGCCGCGGTCGCGTTTCTGATTGGTCAGAAGCGGCCATGGCGCTGCGCCGCCTGAAGCCGCGCGGCCCGGGCGGTTCCGCCCGGCGCGGGGCGCGGCGCTGCCCGGGGGTCCCTGCCCGCAGCCCCCCCCACGGGCCGTCCCTGCCTGTCCCCACCTCGCGCCCGGGGGGCTGCTGGGCTGGAACCCACCCCCCCTTCGTCCCCTTGCCGCGGCTGTACCCTAAAAATAACCCCCAGCTCCGCACGACCCTGAGCTGCGGGGGTGTCCGTGTCCGGAGAATTGGGGCGATCCCCCCTCTCCGTCATGGCGGAGCCCACCCCTGCCCCGTCCGTCCCTTTCCTCTGCACCCACCGGTGCCCCCGTGCCTCGCGGGGGAGGTCCCCTTGCCCTCACCCTGACACAAGCTGTTCTGAAGCACCTGGAGGCTTTGGGGGACCCCTGCCCACCCTGGGGGGGGTCCCTGCGCTTGGCACCCCCCGCACCCCCAGGGGCTGAGCCCCGGCTCCGCACCCAGCCAAGCCGGAGCTGCTCACAGCCCGGGGAACCCCCGCCCCATCCAGGAGGGTCTTATCCCCGCGGGGGGGTCGGGACTGACCCCTGGGTTGCGGGGTGGGGGGTCCCCACAAACAGGCCCCTCTCGCGCGGCGGGAGGGACCCCTCCCCGCAGCCGCCCGCGCCCGCAGCGCTCCGTGAACCAGAGAAATGATTCCCGAGCAGCGTCACGGCTCTGTCCGCTCCTCATCCCGCACCCCATCCCTGCCTGCATCCCTGCCTGCATCCCTGCCTGCATCCCGCTCCTCATCCCACATCCCATCCCGCATCCCATCCCATCCCATCCCGCCCCCCATCCTACATCCCATTTGGCCCCCCATCCCTGTCCCCATCCCACCCCCCTGGCGGGACCCAAGTTTGGGGGGGGCCCAGGGGTTGGGGTCCGGGCAGCCGGACCGAGTGATCCCCCTGCTCTGGGGGTGTCTCCCCTTCCCGGTCCCCAAAATCTCGGGTCGGTTTGCAGCGGGTTTCGGGGGGGGGGACCAGGGGAGGGCGGGTAAGCGCAGGGGGCCGAGAGGGGGGGTGGTCGTGTAGACAAAGGCGCTGGAGAGGGGAGGAGCAACAGCGGCGTGGCCGGGAAAGGCTGGGATACAGGCAGGGATAGAGACAGGGATACAGGCTGGGATACAGGCAGGGATACAGGCTGGGATACAGGCAGGGATACAGGCAGGGATACAGGCTGGGATACAGGCAGGGATACAGGCTGGGATAGACAGGGATACAGGCAGGGATACAGGCTGGGATAGAAACAGGGATACAGGCTGGGATACAGACAGGGATGCAGGCAGGCATACAGGCTGGGATAGACAGGGATACAGGCTGGAATACAGGCTGGGATACAGACAGGGATACAGGCTGGGATGCCTGCTGGGATAGACAGGGATACAGGCTGGAATACAGGCTGGGATACAGACAGGGATGCAGGCAGGGATACAGGCTGGGATAGACAGGGATACAGGTTGGGATACAGGCAGGGATACAGGCCGGGATACAGGCCGGGATACAGACAGGAATTCAACCCGGGATTCAGACAGGGACACTGCCAGGGATGCAGGCAGGGATGCTGGCCAGGACGCTGGAATTCCCAGGATACCAGAGACCATCAATGCTCCCTCCTCTGCTAAATCCCTGTGGACACCCCCAAATCCCCCACAGTCCAGGGATGAGGGGTGGGATCAGGGGGTCTCCCGGGAGGGGGGGTTCAGGGTCATTTGGATGCACAGCCCTGCAAGGCCTCGGGGCCCCCTCCCCACCCTTGTGTCCAACTTTTCCTGTGCCCCCCCCCTTTCCCAAAACAGGGACAGTGGCCAGGCCTGGAGACACTCCATCCTGTCCTCCCCCCGTTGAAACTGTCCCCCCCCCCCGGTCCAGCTGAGATCCCAGCGGGAGGGACGGCTCCTGGTGGCACCAACCAGCCTCGCTGGCACCCGGCCCCTGCCCCAAAATAGCCGCGGGGGGAGCTCGGGGGGGGCTTGAGAGGGACCTGGGACAGGGGTGCCCCCCACCCCAATGCCCACAGTGCCGGGGGGGCTCACAGGGTGCACGTGGAGGGCAGGACCCTCCAGCTCTGCGGGGGGGGGCTGCGGGGGTCCCCTACGAGTGTGTGTGAGGGCAGACTGGGGGATGGGGGGTCACCCGAAATGTCAGGGGGACATCGCACGCCCCGCTCGGGTTACCGGCCCCCCCTCGCTGGGAACCGCCTCTCCCGGGCATCGTGCCAGGACGGGGGGGGCACTGGGGGGGTCTGGGGGGCACAGGGAGGCACTGGGGGACCCGGGGGGCACTAGGGGGGGGCTGCGGGGCAGCCCCGTGGACAGGCAGGGTAAGGGGGGGTTTGGGGGTACAGGGGAGGATTGAGGGGGGGACGAACGCTGGGGACGTGGGGTAACCCCGAGGTGGGTGGGGGGATACTGGGGGGACACGGGGTAACCCCGAGTGGGGTGGGGACACCGGGGGGGCCACGACGCTCCTCTGAATGGGCTGAGCCGCCCCCCCGCTCTCCCCCACGACCCCCCCACGGGGCGCGGCCGGACACGCGTGGCCGGTGCGACCGGCGCTGGGGAGACGGCGGCCAACCAGAGCATTAAAGGGGCCGGGAGCTCTCGGGCTCCGCTCCGCCGCCTTTGTCCCTCCTCCCGCCCGGCACCGGCGGCACCGGCGGCGGCACCGGCGGCCCCGGCGGCCCCGGCGGCCCCAATGCACCGGCCCCCGCCGCCGCCGCCGCCGAGCCCCGCACCATGCCCGAGCCGGCGGCCGCAGCTCAGGACGGCGACCGGCCCCGGCGGGCCCCGGCCGGGGAGGAGCGAACGGAACCGGCGGCCCCCACCGGCGTCCTGGGTACGGGGGAACCGGGTGGAGACCGGGGCGGATTGGGGGGGGGGGGGGGGGGGGGGGGGGGTGCGGGCGGCGGCGGGGGGGACGCGGGGGGGGACGGGGAGGGCGGGGGGAGGCAGCTCCCTGCGGCTCGATGCGGATGTCGGCCGGGATGCGGCTCGCCGGGATCGCGGAGGGGGGCCGGTGCTCCCGGCGGGGCTCTCTGAGCATCCCCCCGGGACAGCTCCGTGTGCCACCCCCGGGGGTCCCGCGCCGGGGCGGGGGGGGTCTGCAGTTCTCTGGGGATCGCGGCTGTGCGTGTGTGTCCCCCCGGGACAGCTCCGTGCCCCCCGGGATGGGCTCCACGTGCAGCTCCTTGTCCCCCACGCACCGGTGACCACCCCAGCACCGCGTCCACGCACCCCCCGTGTCACCCCCCACCCCGAGAAAGTCTTTTTGCCCCCCCACCCATCCCGGGCAGGCCGGTGTCCCTCCCCCCAGCTTCGTACCCCAGGGCAGAGGGGTGGTGCAGGGTGGAGGCTTTGGGTCGGGGTCCCCAAGCTGTCGTTGGGGTCCCCCCCCCGCGTGGCGCTGGGACAGGTGACACCCCCCTGGTTGAGGGTCCGCGTGGCGGGGTCGGGCTGGGGGGGGGGCAGGCAGGGCCTGCTGCCCGCTGTGCCACCGAGCGGGACTCCCGCCTGGGGGTGGGTGACCCACTTCGTGCCCCCCCCCGAGACGCGGCCGCTCCCCCGAACGCCCCGTCCCCGGTGGCCGCGGGCTCCTCTCGGCGGCGGGGCCGTGCCCGTGCCCGTCCCCGCCACTCTGCAGCTCCGGTGACCTTATCCCGGGAGCCAAGGTGAGCGGCACCGCCGGCGTGCCGGGACACGGGGGGCCGCGGGGGCCAACGGGGACACCCGGGAGGGGGGCACGGCGGGGCGGCGCTGGCTGGGGCACCGTGCCCCGTCCCCACGGAGCCCTCGTGCGGCTTCGGGGACGGCACCGCGTGCTGGGGGGGCAGTGGGGCCTGAGGGACCCATGGCCGGAGCGGGACGAAGGTGGGTCACCCCCCAACCCCAGCCAGAGGAGGGGCGCTGGGGACCCCTCTTTTCCCATGACCTTGGGCAGGGAAACCCTCCCTGCACCTGCACCCGAGCCCTCGGGGTGTAGGTGCCCGCCGGGCATCGCCCCGGTTGCCCACGCGTGTGCCGGCGTGGCCATGCCCAGGGCCGGGCCCCCGCGGTGCCCAGAGCTGCCACCCGTGCCCGGTGCCACCACTCCCGGCAGGACATAAATAATTCAGGGTGGTGAGCTCAGCCCGCCGGCGTCACCCGGGGAGCTCTGCCACGGCCACCGGCGCCCTGTGCCCGCCTGGCACCCCGGGACACAGCACCCCGGTACTCGGGCACCCCAACACCCCGGTACCACAACACCCCAGCGCTCAGGCACCTCAGCACCCTGGTACCCTGGTAGCCCAGCACCCCAACACCCTGGTATCTTAGGACCTCGTCACCACAGCACCCTGGCACCGCAGCACCCCGGCACCCTGGCACACTGGTACCTAAGCAGCCCAGCACCCTGTGCCCACCCAGCACCCCGGCAGCGCAGAGCAGAACATGGCCATGCCCAGGATGCCGGACCAGTGCCCCTCCGGGGGTGGCAGCCTGGCACGGCAGCCTGGCACTGTCCCCAACTCCCACCCACAGAGCCGGGACAGGGCGGCCTTTCAGAGCCCGGCAGCTCGGGCGATGAGTTTGGGAGGTCTCAGCCCGGCCGGGGGGTTCCTGGCGGGTCAGGGGGTGCCCAGAGCTGGGGTGCCCGGAGTTGAGGTGCGTTCCCTGGGAGGAGCTGCCGGAGCAGGTTCGGCATTTCCTGTTTTTGCGGAACCCGGGGACCTTCCCAGCCCTGGGGCAGCTGGAGAGGCCGTGACATCCCCTGGGCAGCGCCGGCTGAGGAGGGGACACCGAGGCAGGGAGGGGGCTGGCCTGGGAGAAACGGGGTCCTGTGGGACCCCAGCACCGTTGGAAGCCCCATCCTGCCATCCCGGGGCAGGATTTTGGGATGTCCCTTGTCCCCACCCGCCCCAGGAGGTGCGATGGGGACACCGGGCTCGGGGACCGCGTGTCCCAGCGGTGTGGCCGCCCCACAGTGGGACGGGGGCCGTGTCCCGGCGCTGGCACCCGCTGGGGACTGTGGGGACTGTCCCCATCCCACCTCCCCGCGGCGGCGCGGGGCCTCCCCGGGTTTCCATGGAGACCAGCTGCTTTTTTCGACATCCCCATTTTTCCTGCGGTTTTCCATCTCTCGGAGCCGCGGCCCTGCCGGATCCCGGCCCCGCCGAGGGGCTACGGGCAGAGGTGAGCGCTTTTAGGGGGGGTTCAGGGGGGCACCCCGGGACGTCCCCGCGGCACCGGCACCCCGGGGGTGCCAGGACACGCTGGCGGCTCCTCCCCGGCAGCTGTCGGGGCTGTTTTGGGCACCCGGGGCTGTTTTGGGCACCCGGAGCCGCCGAAGGAGAAACCTGAGCCCGGGGCAGCGTCACCGGGAGCGGGGCCGTGACCTCCGGCCGCGGCCGCGCCGGGGACAGCCGGGGACGAACCGGGGGTCCCCGCCCTCGCCCCGTGACTCATCGGGGATTGGGATCTGGTTCCCAGGGGTGTGTGTGGGGTAGGGATACCCCACGGGATCCCGCGGCTGCTCATCCCTTCCCTCCCCCCGGCAGATAAACTCTTCGGGAAGCGGCTGCTCCAGGCCGGGCGTTACATCATGTCCCACAAGGCCTGGATGAAGACGGTGCCCACCGAGAACTGCGACGTGCTCATGACCTTCCCGGGTAGGGACGTGCCCGGGGAACCCGGGATACCTGGAGCACCCGGGGGGGGAGCAGCAGGGATGGGGGGTGTGGGATGTGGGGAGGGATGGGGACAGGGGACACGGGGAGGGATGTGGGATGTGGGGAGAGATGGGGAAGCTCGGCAGGGGTGAGAATGTGGGGATGGATGAGGGACATGGGGAGGGATGGGAGCGTGGGGAGGGATGGGGGATGTCGGGATGGATGGGGAACATGGAGATCGAAGGGGTTGTTGGGGAGGGATACAAGACACAGGGAATGATGGGGGGGTGAGGAGGAATGGGAACCAGGATGGGGACATGGGGAGGGGTGGGGGATGTGGGAAAGGATGGAAATCAGGAGGGGGACTGGGATGGGAATGTGGGAAGTGATGGTGGCCATGGGGAGAGACGGGGGACGTGGGAAGCGATTGAGGACTTATGGAGTGATGGGAGACCGGGATGAGGGACATGGGGAGGGATGGGGGTTATCTGGAAGGGTGGGGATTGGGATGGATGGGGGGTATCTGGAGGGATGGGGATTGGGATGGGGCCCTGGGGAGGGATGGGGGGGTATCTGGAGGGGGGGGGACTGGGAGGGGGGCTGGGGGAGGGGTGGGGGGTATCTGGAGGGGTGGGGACTGGGATGGGGCCCTGGGGAGGGCTGTGGGGGCCGTGGCCCGTGGCTGACGGTCCCCCCACAGACACCACGGACGACCACACGCTGCTGTGGCTGCTGAACCACATCCGCCTGGGCATCCCCGAGCTCATCGTGCAGGTCCGGCACCACAAGCACACGCGGGTCTACGCCTTCTTCGTCACCGCCACCTACGAGAGGTGGGCTCCCCGCGCCCCCCCGGCCCCTCAGCCGAGTCCCAGACATGTCCCCTTGGCTGTGTCCCATCCATGTCCCCTTGGCTGTGTCCCAGCCGTGTCCCAGCCGTGTCCCAGCCATGTCCCCCCAGCCGTGTCCCTCTGGCCACGTCCCAGCCAACTCCCCCCAGCTGTGTCCCCCCAGGCACGTCCCCCCAACCGTGTCACTCTGGCTGTGTCCCATCCATGTCCCCTCGGCCACGTCCCATCTATGTCCCAGCCAAGTCCCACCAGCTGTGTCCCCCCAGCCATGTCCCCCCATCCATGTCCCCCC